ACTCCCAATACATTATCAAAAAGATTACCAGCTTCAGAAAAATGAAGGTTAAAATTGTCAACTATTTTTTTGGGATCTGAAAAATATTACCCATTTCGGTTAAGCTCAACGGGCAGATTGTCTGTTTTGGATGCCTTTTCGATAGATTTGATTGTTTTCCAAAAAATCCTGGCATTTCCATGTGATTCCAGGAGAGTGGAGGAAAAGTAGGCATTTTTTGCATGCCGTATTTTTTTTTACGCATCTATTCCTTAAAATCCTGTATTCTAGCCAGTCATTTACCATATTACTTTTCTGAGCACATGCCCAAGCCTTGTCCCTAGTTTTCATGAGGTTTGTAATCAAAGGATCATACCATGGTGGGCGGTTGCCTTTAGTTTTAAATCTAACCAACGGAGCATGTTTGTTAAGAATTTGGAGAAACGTGTACCTGAAAGTCTCCCAAGCCGTAGTCAGGTTGGGGATATCACAGACCTTATCAATATTCGAGTGAAGCACATCATTTGTAAATGCCTGAGTGCTGAAGTGCCTCAATGAGTGCTTCTCAACAATTTTAGGGGGGGCTTTGGGTCTGGCTGATGATCTCACCCCAAAAATGAAGGAGTAATCACTAAGGTTATTACCCTCAACACCAGTCAGTGCGAAATTGTGAGGGGCATTTGTCAATAGGACGTCAAGCAGAGTTGACTGTCCCGGATTTTTTAGGTTGGGTCTTGTGGGGACATTTATTAATTGAAACAAGTTAAATTCATCTGTAAAATTCGTGGCCATGGCCGGCGGGTTTAGCCAATTCCAATTTAGATCACCCACTAGAACTATTTCACCTTTAGGGAGGCCCCCAAAAAGCTCTCTCAGTGCCGATGCAGCTTCAACATCCTTCCCACAAGGCGGTCTATAGCAGCACACTACCAATATCTGTTGATTATTTGGGAGAGTTATTCTAAGAGCCAAACCTTCAAAGCAACATTTTTTAAACAAGGAGTGAGCTGGTGAACATGCAATAGTATTACGAACATAGATGGCAATTCCACCTCCTTTAGATCCTTTGTCAAGCCGAAAAAGGTTGTAGTTTTCAACCGTAATCTGCAAGTCATTGACGGCAGGAGTGAGAAATGTTTCTGTTAGGCAAAAAATGTCCGGGTCAAGATTTGCCACTTCTAGTTTTAGTTGACTTAATTTAATCACAAGCCCTCTGATGTTGACACGTAGAACACCAACACCTTTCCTGCCAGAAAAATCTACAGAATTATACGAGTTCTTTTCATTTGGGCCAGGATGAAGCTCAATACCACCCAGAAATAAGAAAAGTAGAATTAACAGTTTGCATAAGTATTTTCTGTGAAAGGATGAAGAGCGGCGAAGCTTGGACGAATAGCAGCAGCTCGCAGATGGTGTTATTTTTAAAAGCAGAATGAAGTTTGGAAGGAGTGCTGGTGAAGTAATGCGACAAAGATAGGGTTTAAAAGGATACAATGATCGAGTGTTGAAGTGTCTATGAGATGTTTCATTTGCAGGTGTAGTGGCAAATCATGCAACAAGTATTGACGCAAAATAACGAGGGTAGCCGTTTGTAGAGTTGAGTGTGGCACTAGATATGGCCGGGAGGGACAGCAGTATGATACACAGCAGGAGAATAGCCATATTTTAAATATCCGGGGTATATACAGATTTACACACAAGCGGAATAGAAAAATATATATACTTGTAGGCCGAGCGCGAGAAAAACGACTTGCCGCACTCGTCAAACATGCATGGCTTCTCGCCCATGTGCTAGAGTTGAACAGCGCCCACCCCCCCCCAGACAGCAGATTCTTGGCTGTTGTGGGCTCGGCTGAACCGCTTGCACCGCCTCCTTTCCCCGCCGCAGGATGGTGCTCGAGCTAGCCCTCCTTGAGCTCAACCCACGACTGGAATGTCGTTTCTTGGCCTCTCGTGTCTCTGCTGCCCGACCAGACGGCCCCACTGAAGCCCACACAGGGGACTCTTCATTCACGACCCTTGGCCGTCTTGATGATCTCCGTGAAGTTGTCCAGGATGGAGCGCACGTCGTCCTTGAGCCGCTTGTTGAACGACTGCAGCAGCACCTCCTTGCTCTCGGGCAGCGCCCGCGACATCTCGGGGCAGCATCAGTGGAGAGAGCGCGACTTTCTCTCAGACACCTGTACGGCGACCTTGACCCTTGTAGACACCTGTACGGTGACCTTGACCCTTGTAGACACCTGTACGGTGACCCTGACCCTTGTAGACACCTGTACGGTGACCCTGACCCTTGTAAACACCTGTACCGTGACCCTGACCCTTGTAAACACCTATACGGTGACCCTGACCTTGTAGACACCTGGCCAGTGACCTTGACCCTTGCAAACACCTAGACAGTGACCTTGACCCTTTAAAAAACTGCACGGTGACCTTGACCCTTGTAAACACCGGCACGGTGACCTTGCCCCTTGTAAACACCTGGGCAGTGACCTTGACCTTTTAAACACCTGGGCAGTGACCTTGACCTTTTAAACACCTGCACAATGACCTGCTGGTTGCCTTCAGTCGCACTCAACTAGCATTGGCGTGGGCACCACAAGGACATGCAACAAATCCAATGCACTGATAGAATGAGGCTTTAAGTCTATGCACATCCGCCTTCACACCTCCCCCCCCCCCCCCCCCACAATGGCCAGCGTGATGAGGTGGCGCTGTAACACGGTAACGACGATAACGTCAGATTTCCCCGCCCCCATCCCCCCCCCCCATATATGGAAGGGGGCGTGTCTTTGCCCATAGATGGTCATTGTTGATCGTGAATCCCGAATAATTGTTTAGAATCCTGCTCAGGCGATCCGGCACCACCCAGCTCAAAGTCGATCGGGCTTGAAAATGTACGATTTTATCTTACGTTAAATTCCACGGTTCACAGATATAAAACAATGGTGTTCGTGTCCGAATTGTACGTAACTTTTTATAGTAGTTTGTTCATGCGGTGGCAAATCCCTGTTCAAAAATTTATTTTTTTACGCTTAGATATCAATGTTATACTATGTACGATTTTATCATAGCCGGTATTCAGTGTATTCCGATTTTAATATGCGGTCCACAGATCATAGAAAACAACGATATTGATGTCCGATTTTGTACGTAGATGTTGATAATAGTTTGTTCATATGGTCGATCAAAGTTCCGTGTTAAATTTCTCCGTAAAAATATAAATTTGTCTACTTAAAAAATCAATGTTATGCTAATGTACGATTTTTTATAATAGCTGCGATTAAGTGTATTCTGGCCTCCAACTTGACTGTCAGATTTTGTATTCAACTTCACTCGGTCAGTGCATGCAGCAAGGCGTCCGCATGATGAACCATGTGGACATTAGAGGTTACCTAATTTCTGGAAGCAAATGAGGAAACAATAAAGGTCGTCACACTTGTTTTCATTTGGTTAACAGATCACAGCATGCCGCTATAAATGCAATGACAAACACAAAAAGGGAGATGTGAGTAGCACCTCAAATGGTGCCACACACCCCAGAGAAATAGAACTGTAGTGGGCCCAACTGGATCACAGACGTACTTCTTAGAGGCGACACATTTATTACACCAACACGAATACACAAAGGGGTAGCTTGCCCCTTTACCAGATAACAGCCTAGAGTGTTGGACCACCAGGCTAACTACACTAACACACTGGGAGTTAGCTACAACGGACCGGACCTCGGCTCGGGTCCCGGATCACGTGTTGGAGGCTTCTTCTTGACGTAGAATATAGATCTTCAGATGACGGTAGCAACGACGACTGCGGTCCCTGTGGGGACCCGGCTTATATGCTCCTGGGTTGGAGCCGGTTCCACCCTTGGCACCCGCCCACCTTCGAGAGAGCTCTGGCTCTCTCTCGACTCTTCTCGAGACAACTTTCCCCTGGACACGTGACCACCCCTTAGCCCCCACCTGGGTGCCCCCCTGGAGACTTTGCCGGTCACGTGCCTTCGGGGTCAACCAGAGTGCCATGGCCCAGGGTAACCCTGTCCCTGGGCTGAGACTCTCCCACTCCCTCCGGTAGGTGGCAGCACTGCACGCCACACGTGGTGCCACTGCGCTATCCCAGCGCTCACTAGGGCTGGTACTACACCCACCTACGGGGTGTCCGCGATGACGGTGCATCGCACCCCATGCCCCTCTAGGGCCGGCACCATACAGTCACATCTGCGATGTCACTACAGAACCACAAAGCCATGTACATAATATTGCGTAAAGTCAGAACTTCTCACGTCTATGGCCCTACACAATCCTGATACACACAGAGTCCACAGAGGCCATGTCTGCATAACACATCTTCTCGACTGAACTTCAGCTGGCAGGCCAACACAGAAGCTCGTCACGTTGCCTAACCACAGAGGGCTGACGGTTGGGGTGTATCGCGTCGAGCTGGTGTTAGACCACTCGGAGACCTGGCTGTTAGGGATGCCAGCTTTTATTTCTACCCAAGCTGACACCAACCACCCCAAGCAGAGGAGTTATAGCCTGGGAGCAGGCTACCACAAAGAACATCAAACGAATAAGAATCAACACAAGATCACCCACACACATCCAATCACACCTAATGTCCCTACCGCTTTCCAGAGACTCACACAGAAGCTTTGGGGGAAGGGGGGGTCATCCACTTTCCCGACGCAATTCGGCTTCACAGAGTGCCCCGTGTTCCCCCTCCAGGGTTTCCACCCCTCGCCTGCTAACCCCTCTTCAGACAGTGGGAGATGTCCGTGAGCAGCCAAGCAGCCACCCCGGTCACCAGATGGTAACCGACTTCACTCTTGGCCAGTGCCAGGCTGCAGTCAACTTGGTCCCCCATTCCTGCCGCTCTTGGCATGGTCCAGCTTTATCCCAGATGTCCCATCTGCCCTGGTTCAATCCCCAGGTTGGCCACTGGAAACATATAACAATAACTGTCACCTAATGTTTCCCTATAAATTATCTATTCTGTAGGGTTGGAGACAGCCCTCAACTGCTACTTACAGTGATGATCCCCTGGTCCTCACTCGTGTCGCTGCTTGAGGGTGGGAGCTCGCCCAGCCACTCCTGCTGCCGCCGTCACCGCTACCACCGCCGCCGCCTCCACCACCGCCTCCACCACCGCCGCCACTGCTGCTTCTGCCTTGAGCCCCCACTGCCGATGCGGGCACCCCTTTTATAGGGCTGCTCAGTCTATCATTTCGTCCCTGGGCCAATCACGTGGGAGGTCCGTCGATCAATATCCTGAGATTCCCTACTCCTGGTTGGCGTGTTCTCCTTGGAACCTGTTCGCACACCGGTCTGACCACGCTGTGGTGGTTCCTGGCTCCACACAAAGGACCGCGCCCAAAACCACGAGTTTCTCTCTCTCTTTCTCCAGCTCACAGGGCATGTTTCATGCACAGCTTCAGCTGGCAGCAGTTTTTTTTAGGGTAGAGAGGACTGGGCTGGATCCCCGCTCCCTCTGGTACCCCCACACGACGCCACTCTATGCGTTGGCTCTGGCTCCTGCAGCTGCTCCCGGCCAGGAGTGCCTGCCAACACAGGGAGAAAACCACACTCTGTCATCTTAACATTCCATTCACCACATTTCAAGAGCCGAACATAGTGAAGTGAGCATGAACTGCAGGTTTACTGTACTCACAGCCGGCTCCACTGCCCTACTCGCTGCTGCTGCCTGTGCCACTGTTCTGCTGCTGCTGCTGCTGGGTGCTTGTGTAATGAATATAACTCTAGGCAATAACACCTCTACTGGTAACATGCACAGCTGATCACTCGGCGTGGTCCCCTCGCCCTCACTCATCTCCGCCCACGCAGGAGATCATCCACGTGGTCGGACGATGGAGAGCGATATCGGTGAACAGCAACACAGCCAGGACCCAGGACCCACCGAGCTCCATGCTCCGGGTCCGCTCCTCTTTATATCCCCCCAGGCGTGGCTAGGCCCCGCCCTTGGCCACGCCCTCTCGTGGAACCTTCAAGCTGGTTCTCAGAGCATCTCGGCTGACCCTACCTGTTACTTTAGCCCCAGATACGCCTGTTGTATATATAGGCATTTTCCCAAAATTGATATTAATAATGATTTTGGCAATATATATATTTTTTAATAATAATCGATCAAATAAATAAATAAAAGACCCTCAAATCCGCTACCTCCCACAAGCACCATGCATTTGGAGGTCGTAAAAGGCCATTAAATAATAAACTCCGGGGCAAAGGGAGGTTAATGACGATCTGCAAAATCTCCAGATTGCCAAAGGACCGCATGCCATGACCTGCTTGGCGCTTTGGACAGTTCACAAAACAAATATCCAGAATCACAGGCACGGATACAGAGCACAGGGCAAACGGACATTATAACTGATTTTTTTTTTGTACGGAAAAAGTTTAAGCTTGGCTATAAGAATAAGTCGACATGATAGACTGCAGTCTATATTAGTGGCTTTATTGTTACTTATTTTATTTCACCCTTATTCAACTCACATATTGTTTCTTATTGTATATTTCTATCTATGTAACTTCACCAAGAGAACCAAAGAATGTGAATTCTGGAAGTCAAGAAAGTGAGGGCTTGGTTATATCTCCAGCCTTGGGATGTCAAAATATAACTCGAGAATAAAACACCGATCCCCGGTAACACAGACTTATAACAAAGCTTGGCAAACCCTTGAAATACTGGAGGTAACATCTAATGACATTACAAATCTTGGTTAAACATAAACCAAATAATAATCACAAGAGATTAGACCAAGGGTAACTCAAAAGAGATACAAGAAAATAGGTCAAACACACAAGACCAGATAATATGTATTCCATGAAATCAGAGCCTCCGCGGCCGCCTTTGTCTTCCAACAATTTGACACAAACACATGGTAGCCATGAATACGTATGAAAGTTGCGTCCCCTCCCTTAGCAGACACCACGAAGAGAGGGGTTGGGAGTGCAAACAAACATCAATTTGATGTAAAGCAGCCCGGGGTCACCAAGAGGAGAGGGGAGGGGGGCAATCAGGCGCAGCCGCGGGGGGAGAGCATGACGGAGTAAGCATCTTTTTTATTCTCTCGCAAGAGACGCGCAGAGGGGAGATTTTTCGGATATAAACAGCAACACGACACACACATTTAAGCTCGACAAGGGACAGCTCGGCAAGGGACAGCTCGGCGAGCGACAGAAGAGGGCGGCGAGCGGCAAGCTCCGGGGTGAGACTCTGCAGTCAACCAGGGATGGGGAGGCTTGCCGAGTAGCGATGTGTCGCCGAACACGAGTTCAGAGCTGACGGAAGAAGTATCGCTCAAAGTCATTCTATCCTGAGTGCCAGCTCCCACAAGCAGAAGCAGCTACAGCCTAGCAATAGAATAACGAGCACCAACGAGCAAGCATCCGGGAGAAAGGGTGGAAAGCCCAAGCATCGACCAAGCCAGCATCACAGAGAACCAGCGCCACCGAGCAAGGGTGTCTGCCACCAGCGAACGAGCCGCACGCGCAATCGGGCATCGACAAAGAGCACGGGGCAGGAGGGAGCGCGTGGGGCGCAGCTCCTCCGGCAATGGAAGGAGCCTGCTGCTGTCAGCGGACCAGCGGCGAGCGCGATCGAGCATCTTCAAGAAGAGGGCGTGTGCGGCGCAGCTCCTCCAGCAGTGGAAGGAGCCTGCTGCTGCCAGCGGACCAGCGGCAAGCGTGACCGAGCATCTTCAAGGACAAGCAAGGTGCCGATGCAGCTCCTCCAGCAGTGGAAAGAGCCGGTATCTGACAGTGGACGGGCCGCTAAGCCGACGCCCCGAGCAAGAAAAAGCAACGAAGCCGTTGTAAGACACGCCCACCGTTGTAAGACACGCCCACCGTTGTAAGACACGCCCACCGTTGTAAGACACGCCCACCGTTGTAAGACACGCCCACCGTTGTAAGACACGCCCACCCTCACACCCTCACCGCTCCGCAAGGGATGCCCAACCTCGGCGTTTGCTTAACGCAAGAAGATCAACAACACTCGCACATTAACACTTACAAGAAGACTCATGATAAGTGCGTCAACTACTAGCTGATAACGAAGAACATTGCGGCCCATTGAGTTACGTGGATACAGTCATTTAGAAGTATTTTAGTCGTTATTTTTTCTCTTAATTCCATAACTATTACCAATAATTTAAAGCTTTCGTAACTGCAGAGATTCATATTCTTGGTTCTTTTGGTAAAGTCACCACGTAGAAGGGAAACAATAAAATAATAAAAATATAAAACAATAAAATTCTCACGACGTTTCGACTGATGATGATTGCTTGTGTTGCACACCTGATGATGATTGATTGTGTTGCAGTCGAAATGTCGTGAGAATTTTATTGTTTTATATTTTTATTATTTTATTGTTTCCCTTCTACGTGACTTTACCGAAAGAACCAAGAATATTACCAATGAATTCATTGATTAAACTAAACGTTTAGAAACCTACGTTACGAATCTACACACTCACAGGGAGAATATTGTGTTGAAATAGTTCTTTTGATCACAGAATCTTGCCCGCGAATGAATTGAAGCCTCAGCCAATTGATAAGCATTTGCTGAAGCAGGCACACTGTCGCACACCATTGTTCCAAGACATTTCGTAATTACATAATCTTCCCAATGAATTAATTGCCGTATAACTTTGCCTTCGGGACATGTTTCTTTAGTGCCTTCATATGAATATCGTTGCATGAATTTTTAAGGACTTTTTCCTATCACCGTATATGCTCGCGTTACTCTAAGGAATTAATCAATTACTATGTTACCCAGTTTAACAACGTGATCATTGAGGGTTAAATGTATGGATCGATGAGGAGAACATCTCCAGGAGTACTGTGTTGACAATTCCAAGCATAAGAGTTCGCATATTAGAGTGTTATGTTTTTGTTTAGAAATTAAAATTGCTTAACCCAGAAGTATCTGAGTGGTGACTTCCAAAGTTCATGCGTAATGATCTTAATTATAAGAACTGTATCCTACGGTGAGATTTGAATTTGGAGACCTGATATAAAAACACTAAGACAATCAGTAAATGTTAAAGCGAGAATAATTGTATTATACCGATTGATAATACGAACCTAGACAACGAAGCCGAGCTTAATCTGGCATACTTACATCACACCTGCATAACTTCATACAATTAATTGTACGATCCCGATTGATAATACTACCCTCGTCAGCGAGGCAGGGCCTAATTATCATAACGGCTTGCATTGTCATAATCGCATGCAATTGCATCACTTAATACGATTACACATCCCTGATTAGTAGAATGTAAGCGCATAATTACACCAATTAACATCATTCCGGACAATTACGCATATTCCAAAATTTCATTTAATTATTACTATTTTCATTAAATTTTCAATACCCAAATTATACAACACGCCTTCTTCCCTGATTGGCTGATACCTCTGTGTCTGTATCCCTTCCCAGGCCAGCAGGTGTCACGTCGTCATGTTAACAGGAGTAAGTTTAACACGTAGTAGGCTTTCGCGACCAATATTATTCATAATAAAGGTTTTTGGGTTAGATCGCGTTATTTATAAATGTGTCGTAACCCTCCACCACCCGACACGGCCAATCAGCAAAAGAGTGTCATGTTGACAAAAGACAAATAGTTCACTACTTTAGCCCACCGGTGTGTTGAAGAGTGAATCCACAACATTTACAGTTTGAGTACGACGTTTCGCTGGTAATTAAATCCAGCATCATCGGGCAATTCGCCAGAATGGTAAAGCCCTCGCTTGCTCCCGGTCTTAAATAGAGCAGCAGGGTGACGTCATCGTTTAACTCATTACAGGTGTAAGCCTGTCAGTTGTAAGCCTGTCATAACACTTGAACCCGTGACAAAGAACAATGACACACTGATCATTTCTCTGTCGTACTCTTAGCGAAAAAAAGTCCCGCCTATGTCTTCCAGCTAGCCCAGCCTGTAAAAGGAAACTCACGTGAAATAAGCAGAAGCGCAGAGGTGCCAACAATACTTTCACATCACAATTCTCACTTGCCACGAGTCTACTACACTTTAATTACATTTTGAGATAGATATCATATTATACAAATTGTCTTACGTTTGCTCTATCATTGTCCCGCCACCACCCACTGTAACTAACAGCGCGATATCAAAATAATTACAAGTTGTTGTCATGGACAGCTGCTAGTGCACGTGCATTTGTAAGTGGAAGGTAACTTTGACTTAACGCATGTCCAACTTATAGATTTGTTTTCAAACAGCTTCCACGTATTTAGCCATTGTGCACATCACTAACGTTAATGGCCATCCTCTAAATCAGGGGTCGGGAACCTTTTTGACTAAGAGAGCCATGAAAGCAAAAAATTTGGAAATTTATTTCAGTGAGAGCCATATAATATATTTTAAAAGTGAATTCAACTAAATGTCAGTATAATAAGCCTCTGAATTTATTCTTTTAAATAATGTTGTTATAACACTCACCATTAATGCGACTTCTGGTGCTGCATGGATTTGCTGATGTCTTTTTAGTCGGGTTGGTACTTGGTGAGGTTAAGCTTCATGCAAGCGTTGAGGCTTTCATCCGTTAAACGTGATCGTAGGTTGGACTTGATGTTTTTAAGATGTGAGAATGACTGCTCACATGCATACGTAGATCCAAACATGGTCAATACAGCAATACTCACACGCTGCAGTGTGTGGTATGTGACAGGAAGCGCGTTCCAAGTTTTGAGAATCAGCTGGTCTTCGGGTTGGAGTTTTTTCATTTCTGTCCACATGTGCTTGCTCGCCAACTCCGCTTTCTGTCGTGTGATTCTTTCCAAATCTTCATTCAGTGACTTGAACTTATTCACCCACATGTCTGAGGCCTTCAGGTCAGCCACTTCTGCTTCAAAATCTCTGACGGAGACACCAGGGATGTAATTCAGGTCGGCTGTGTTCAGTGAACACTCGTTTGGATGGGTGATGAACTTAAAAAGACGAGTGTGCTCACGAAATTCTCCAAAGCGTGCTTTGAAGGACTGTAGGAGACTGGATGTGCAGCCAGCTAGCTGGTGGAGATCAAGGTTTTGAATGGGCTCACTTGCTGTGCATGCATCTTTAAATTGGCTCAGTTTTTCAAAATGTAGTAAACGACCTGTTTCAAGATCCGTGATGAAAAGCTCCAGCTTGTTTTCAAAAGCAAATACAGCTTGTTGAAGGGATAACACTGTATTTCCAATGCCTTGCATTTTCACGTTGAGCTGGTTCAGATGTTCAGTCAGATCTACGAGATAGTAAAACTTGAGGAGCCACTCGGTGTCGGCTAGCTCAGGATGCCCGACGCCTTTCATTTCAAGGAAAGTCCGGATTTCGTTCAGGCAAGCCGCAAAACGGCTAAGCACCTTCCCTCTTGACAACCAACGCACATTGCTGTGCAAAAGCAGACCAGGATAGTTATTTACAACTTCATCCAGCAGTGTTTTAAACTGGCGACCATTTAAGGCTCGGGCAACAATAAAGTTGATCACACGAATGACCAGCGACATCACTTCGCCAAACTGCCTGTCACACATCTGAGCACAAAGTGCCTCCTGGTGTATAATGCAATGGAAACTTAGGATGGGTCTATTTTCATGTTCACGGAGAAGCGCCACAAATGCTTTGTTTTTCCCCACCATACACGGAGCACCATCAGTACACACTGAGAGAAGTTTATCCATAGGTAGACTTTTTTCTTGAGCAAACTCCATGAAAGACTTGAATAAATCCTCACCTCTTGTGGACCCTTTTAATGGCAGAACAGCAAGACTTTCTTCGCGCAGTGTGTCACCAACAGCATATCTTGCAATCACGCTGAACTGCGACAAATGGCTCACGTCTGTTGACTCATCCAAAGCCAGAGAAAAGAACGGCGCTGCATTTATGTCCTTCACTTGCGTTTCCTCCACTTTGTTTGCCATCACGATGGTACGATCATGAACAGTTCTTGCCGACAGAGGCATGTCTTGTATCCGTTTGATTATCTTGTCTTTGTTCGGAAGATCATCAAAAAGTTCATTGGCTACATCCAGCATGAACGTTTTAGCATACTCGCCATCTGTGAATGGTTTTCCGTTCCTCACTATTGCTAAAGAACCAGCAAAGCTAGCCGAATTATAGTCACCTTGCCGGGTCCATACGCGGAGTTGCTGCTGGCTAGCTTGCACCCTGCTCAGAAGCTCTTGGCACGCTTTCTTTCTGCTGTCTCCCGCAGGGTATTTTGATGCAAAGGTAGCGTGGCGCGTGTCGAAGTGCCGCTTTACATTCGACCGTTTCAACGATGTAATTTTGTCATTGCAAATTAGACACACCGCAGAACCCGCTCTCTCCACAAAGGCGAATTCTTCGGTCCATTCGTCCTGAAATGTACGATACTCGTCGTCTTTTTTTCTTTTCGCCATCTTCTTCGTCGAAGGGTTAGCTTTGAGCTAATGACCGAGCAGACACAGTCTCAGACTGATTCAAAAGGGGGTGTTTACCTGTTTTACCCAGCAACGGCAAACGTAGGCCAGTATCATCCAATTAAAATAATGGACAATTGCTCCTGCAGCCCTGAACAGGACATGCGCAGTGAAAAATCGATGGATGGATTAAAACAAGTGAGAATATTTTGTTTTATCTGCGAGCCATATGCAATCATCAAAAGAGCCACATCTGGCTCGCGAGCCATAGGTTCCCGACCCCTGCTCTAAATGCTAATTAATTAATTATCGAATGGAACAAATGTACGTTTCAGTGACGTCTATGCATTGTGTGACCATTACCGCTTTCGGCAACTTTTTATCATTATTTTTACAAAAATGATCAAAACAACAATGTCCGGTACGAGCTACGGCACTTATAAATACATGCATGGCTCGTGCGTGTTGTCTGAGTATATTATACCCTGTCGCACTCGCAGTAAGTCAATAAAGGTTTTAGCAATAATATCAACGTGCAACGAATTGTTCAAAACTATGTGCACGTGGACAATTTCGCGCAGTGTGACGGCAATTTTGTTTGAAACGTATCAATGTGTAAGTGCTGCAAAGATCCAATTGGAATAGTTTCAAATGTAATATAAACAGCTTGTGCAATCTGAGACTTATCAATGTATTTTAAATAACGCAAAATGGTAACACCTGGAACAGATTGCACTGATTAGAGTGATTCAACTTTACAAGTTTACATCCATCAATGAAATTGCTTGCTGACATAAGGCCAGTTAAACTTTTTTTTTAGCGGTAATGGTCTCAAAATGCGACTGTCGACTTACGATCAATTCGAATTCCTATGATAGTGCACACGCACTGAATGCGAAATGGGTGACATTTATGAGCTGCTTTAGTTCTAATGGTTGGCAGAAAGAGTAATCCAACAACACAACACAACACACATCCCGTGTCTGCGAGGACACGACGTGGGACATCCATGTGTGGGTGATCACGTTTTCCAAACGAGAAATTTATTTTAAAGCTGTTTGTGCCCGCAGTGCGAAGAAGATGTTGAAGACAATTATAATTAAGATAAGTATGTACATGTTCATATTTACAAAGAAAGCATTCCATAATATGCGGAAAAACGGTGCATGATCTCGAAAGGGGAAATTTTTGAAGACATCTGTGGAGGCATGTTAAAGCAAATGACGCAGACTCTAGATAGTCTCCATTATCCCAATTTTTAAGATCCGCTCGCGCAAGTTTCCTCAACAGAAACTTCATAGTCCTGTTTGTGTTCTCTGCCTGCCCGTTTGTCTGCGGTGTGTACGGCCAGGTCTTGACATACTCGATCTTTAGTATGCTCACAAGACTGTCATTTAGAGCATTGCAAAAAAGTTGTCCATCTGACAAGAAAGCACACAGGCCTTTGCAAATCATCGGTACAGGCTCACTAATGCCTTTGCAACTGTGTCGGCGGTTTTGTCAGGGAATGCGTTAACGATGACGAATTTGCTAAGCAGACGCGTCGACGTCAACAGTTATCTGCTAACGTTGTCTGTTTTTGGCATGTTCACAAGATCAATGGCCACCAGCTGCCAAGGTTATAATGCCACCATGGGCCTGAGTGGTGGAGGCACTGTCTGAATGGACCGCTGTCTTTGGCAATCATCGCAGCTTTCAACCCAAAGCTTCCTCTTTCATCCCTTTGCAGTGTTTCTAGTCATGACCAGCTGCGTTTTCGACAGCCCCCAATGTCCAGAAACGTCATAGCACCAACTCAGAACTTCAATTTTCTCTATCTCGTTCACACAGCAGCGAACCCAAGCATGTGTGCGTCATTGAAAACGTTTTCCAAGTTTTTGTACATCTCTTCAATTGACATCTTTGCTGCCTATTGTGCAGAAGGGGCATGATGCCATGCTGTAAATATTTTAGAATATGCTCACGTGTCCACCCCATTTTATCACGCAGTTTTTAGACGTGTGTGTATATATAAGTAGGATACCAGGAATTACCTGGGTGAAGGTCTGTGGCAGAGGCCCACGGGTGCCGTCGGAAAGTCAAAGCTTTGAATTGTCTCTGGGAATAAAAAGAAAAGCAAAAGGGTTACGATCCGATGCCTTTCTTATCCGATTCATAAGCAAAGCCACGACCCGCAACAGAGTCCATAGATTTAGTTGCGATCTTGAACACCATTAAACAATCGCATGAACAGACAAGTTTTATATGAAATCGGACGCAAAAACACCATTAAACTCTGCACACCATTAAATAATGTGCTAACAGACTTAAGTTTCATTTAAAATCGGACGCAAACAATCCATAATAATTGTAATATCAACAATATAATAAAAATATATTGATCAATGGATGTAGTTTTGTATTTGGCAGGCAACGCACAGTCCTGGCGATTCATTGGCAAGCAAATATTGGATCGAGTAATGATGTAACCCGTGCCCCCTTCATTTGATTGGCTAATACCAGCAAGATCGGTGATTCCATTGAAGTCCGCGCCACGGTGGTTTGGAGATGTTAACAACCACGCCTGGTCTACGGAGGTCGTAGGTTCGATCCCGACCCTGGCGCCTGCTGTATATTTGAAGTTTGCCCGTCTCTCTCATCATCACGGTGGCTACATGTTGACTACCTCGCCTGGTATATAAGAGGTCCGTGGGTTCGATCCCGACCCTGGCGCCTGTTGTGTTTGTGGAGTTTGTCTCTCTCTCCGTGGTCGCGTGGATTTTTTTGGTCCGGGTCCGTCCGTTTTCCCTCCATATTTAGAATCAGCAACATCGTCACGGGTTTCGAGTGTTTGGCTGCTATGAATTTCCACACGACGACGAGCCGCTTCGTTGAGCTGTCACGTGTGGCCAGGTCTGCAAAGGAGCTGCATAACTCGGTGGACTTTACCTGGTAAAATGTAAAATATATAGTTGAGTTCATAGTTCGTGTAACGCAGCGTGAAGCCATAGTCAGCTGTGCTCTTTGCCAAGCAGAGAGGTGCAACGTCGAGAGGGGTTCACCAACCTAGCGTCGAAGTTGTCACCATACTCTACGATTTGGTGTGAGATGTTATTTATGTAGTTTATTGTAAAAAAATTCGGTCACAGTCCCTGTGATCACTGTTACGTTGCAATTATGGCTTTATTTTTTGGTGATTTGGAAAAGTTTTTTCATTTGAACATGTTTGTTTTGTATTTAGTACGGAGTTAGACTGATGGCCTTAATCTAAGTTTTTGTGGTTGTTGTTGTTGTTTGACTTGCATCCCACTGGGATTTTTTTGCACACAGCGTTGGTGTACGGTGCTTTTTTCAGGAATATTTTTGCTGGTTTTTTACATGGATTTTCTGTTTGCACAGTCACATAGTCACTTTAAGATGTTTTTCTTGTTCGTGTTTTTGTTTTTTTTTGTTTGTTGTGGTTGCACCCGATTCAAGAGCCGAATGGCTCACAGGGCTATACCAAAATAAACTGAACTGAACTAAACTGAACTGATACTGTACAATGAGGGGTTGTTGCTTCAAACCTCTGCGTTAAATACACAGATATTTGCAATCGTGGCTGTGGAATGTTTCTGCTTTGAGACAGCTTTAAAGAAAGTTAAAAAAGACACCCCTGAATTTCTCTACAATGGGGCAGCTTCCGTTGAGGGGCCGTGTTTAGCATGGCCTCTGGACGCAGTGATAGTACAGTACAATAATATGGCACGCCCGACGACATCGCCAATCAGAGATCTGCCCGTATATAGGACAACAAAAATAGACGTGCTGTGGCTCAGCCGTGGCTTGGGGGCCTACGGCGTGGTGGAGCAACGTTTGGCAGCGTCACTGGACTCGCAATCCACAGCCCAACGGTTCGACTCCACCTCCCGGCGCAGCAGTAGAGAGACACCTGTGTCCACGCAGCAGCAGCAGCAGCAGGATCCATGGGGAGGACACCACAGCAGGGCGCGTGTGGTGGGGTAACGTGTGGGTGCTTCCGTCTCTTACAAGATGCCTGGCCAGCATGGAAGAGTAGGCCAAATACCCCCCAGAGCGGACTCGAGAGAGCGTCTACTCGGTGAGGCACTTCCACAAGCAGTGACGGAAGCGAGCAATTGCAGGGCTGCGCCTTTACCTAGTTACAAAGCAATGCTTTGATTTTGATTTAAAGCTTTCGTGACTGCAGGCATTCATATTCTTGGTTCTTTCGGTAAAGTCACGTAGAAGGGAGACAATAAAAATATAAAACAATAAAATTCTCACGACGTTTCGACTGCAACACAAGCAATCACCATGAAGTGTGAAAACCACAGCAAGAAAATTTGAAAAAATATTATTTTAATATTTTATTGTTTCCCTTCTACGTGACTTTACCGAAAGAACCAAGAATATCAATGCTTTGATGTTATACTGGTAGGAACGAAGTTGTAAACTGAGTGTACCAGCCTGCAATAGATTAATGTGTCCGTCCGTCCCCTTTCAATACTTTACGAAGTGAAATCTCGTGCTGTTGGGGTGTAAAAATAAAATTGCGCAAAATTCCAATGTTCCTACCAGCCCACCCTGCAGGGACCTGTTACACTGTACAGGATTTACACGTGGATTTTTTTGGGACTTTTGTGCCATGTATTTTACCTTAAACCGTGTTCGCAGTTTGTATTCGCGGTTTACACCGATTGAGAATTGTAACTGGTGCAAAGAGTGTGATCGTGGTGGGTGTGGCGAGCGGTTAGAGCGACGCTGCGCTACGAACCCGGCGACCCAAGTTCGATTCCCGATTACGGCCAACACCAGTAACGAACATCATGTGAACTGAGCCTCCCCTAGGTCGACTCAACCTCAAGTGAGTACCTGGTGTAGTGTGTAAACATCGCCACTGGGGAGACAAAGGCGGTCAGGCGTGGGGCCGGCCACCCACCCCCTTGTGTACCGTGCCGGTCTTCAGAGGCGCTGCTCGTTATTAGCACTTGCCCCAAAAGTATGTGAAGGTTATACGGGGGATCTTTGTGTTTACACAAAGCGTGCGTCTTCAGATAGGGGGGGAGTGGGTGAATGGAAGCCTCGGTCCATAAACAAAAGCGATGTTACAACAATGAAGGTGCTGTGATTTGACGAACATTAAACCTGGGATCTTTGGAGATGTCCCTGCCACTGTTTCATTGATGGTTAATCGAGAGCTTTCTATCAGTCCACAGCTGCATGAAGGCCTACACTCACCGTGTCGTTCCTAGAGTTTGTGTGACCATAATTCACCACCCTGGTGAGTATGGGTTGGTAATGGAGGGGATCTCACCTCGCTACTTCGTTGGCCGAGGGTGGGAATTTAACTCGGGTGACTCAGGTGCATGGTGCTTTTCGCTAACCACTGCACCACCACTCCAACCCACAAATGCGTAAAATAACAAAGACATCTCAAGTTGGTGTACGCATTGAGCGGTGGTGCAGACCACCAAAGACAAAGCCCCCCCCCTCCCCATATAACCTTAACAGACTGTTGGGGAAAGTGCTGTTAGCGAGTACCTATGAAGGCCGGAACGGCGCACAGGGGGTGGGTGGCCAACATTACCCCCGGCCGCCTTTATCTCCCTCGTGGCAATGTTTACACGCCGCCACTGATACTCATTTGAGGCTGAGTCTACCTCGGCAAGGCCCAGGACCGGTTCAGAATCGAACTCGGGCGGCCAATTCATCACGCAGGGCACTAACCGCTTCACTACCGCGCCCCACGCTGACTGTAATCACTTCTGTCAATGACGACAAAAGCCAATCACAACAGGCCGATGAAGCCATACGTTACAAACGACAGACACTCAGGTGTGTAAAAAGCACACGGGTGCTTTGTATCAGCAGTTCCTAAAGAAGTGCATTGCGGACAACGAATTGTTCACGTGTCTGCGTGCGGTTTCAAGCTGACGATAATAATTATTGAACTGTGAAATGGTATAAACGCATCTGCATTTATAGTATGGGACGGGGATGGGACTCACGCAAGAGGAGCAAACAGATTGGGTTTGGGACTTAATTCCCACCAAAGCCACGTTTTACATGTTTTGTAAAACTCTAAATCCCAAAGGTGAAAGCTGCGTTAACACATCGGGAAAGCCCCAAGAGTCGCGGGTGAAACGAGACTGCCTTTGTTGTTTTGATTTCCGTTCACAAGCCCAGCAACAGCGCTGCATGAATCCATAACTCGAGCGGCGTGTATTGTGGTGGGCGTAATAATCAATGGATATTGACTCGCTGCAATAATCATGCACGCGTTTGATTGCATGTGCACGTTGTGCCATAATCAGATGTAAATAATGCACATTCAATTCGCAGCGCATCCATAATCATCGTCATCACCATGTTATTTCATAGAGCACGAGTGCCACAGTCGGAGACGGAATGTGTTTATCTAATTGATCGCTAATTTGCAGCGTCATTTTTAAAATTTGGAAATTTGTACCGATGAGGCTGACGCACAATGGCCGCCTCCTGGTCGAAGAACGTGGGGGCCACGGCAGCGAAGCCGCCCCCCGAGGCCGAGCACGCCGCTGGGAGGCCGCAGCAGCGAGGCCGTTCGGCCGACCCAGTGGCCGCGAGGCCGCCACCTCCGGGCGACGGGGCCGACGCTGCTCGTTCCTCACCACCCCCCACCTGAACACACGCATACCCCCCACGTAGAGCCCCCACCTGAACACACACACACAGAGCCCCCACGTAGAGCCCCCACCTGAACACACGCATACCCCCCACGTAGAGCCCCCACCTGAACACACACACACAGAGCCCCCACCTGAACACACGCATATCCCCCACGTAGAGCCTCCACATGAACACACACACAGAGCCCCCACATGAACACACACACACAGAGCCCCCACATGAACACACACACACACAGAGCCCCCACATGAACACACACACACACCCCACATAGAGCCCCGAGGGGAGGTCACCTGGCGGGCAGGTTTTCACCCAGAAGCCCCTCATGAGACCAATCTTCACGGTTTCCTGCGACCAGGGAACTGGGCGACCTACCCCGAGGCTGACTCGCACCGCGGCGCCGTGACCTGGGTTGTAATCACGTGGTCACGACGGGGGCTGCTGAGCCACCGTGGATAGAAAACACCCACACTCGACACGGGTCAGCAGGCAGGTAGAGGGTGGGGCAGAGTAACGAGCGGCGGGGAAGACATGGGGCCCGCCTCTCCGCGTAGGACGTGTGCGCTTGTTCAAAGGGGCAAAAAGCGGACGTCGGAGAGAGCACTAATCCGCTAATCAAACAAGCGGGAAATCCGAGGCTCCTGATTGGACGAGAGGCCAGGGGACTGGCAGCGCGTTGCCTTTGATGTAAGGACAATAAAAGGGGGTGTACCAGGTAGTGAGGAGCAGTCGTGTTCTTCAAGGGGTCAAGATCGGAGGAGTGATCGCGTCAGCCACTAGATCGTCCGTGAGACGAGTCCCAGCGCAGCCAGGCCTCGTTCCCCACGAAGACTACGTGCAGCATCGCCCTTCCACGGCTTCCTGCACATCGGAGTAGAGCCGCGAATACGTAAGAGAGAGGCGAGTTTGGGCTTAATATCTAGGGGAGAGTAAGTGGAGCGAGAGGCAAGACAGACTGAGTCACCGGGGGGTAGGTTATACCTGCCCTGCTGACCCACACTGACACGCGTAGCTTGGTTTGTTTATTCGCGGGGAATAAATCGTCAGTCGAGGATAAACCGTGTTGTGTTGTCTCTGTGAGTGCGGAGAGGAGGGTGGGGTGTCGTGAGTCGGATCGCCGGGGTGCACTGTATTTACACCCATCTGCTCGTTGGAGTACCCTGTGTTTGCGCACCAGCGGGTATTCTACCCATTTGGGTACGCTCGCCGCTACGTGTGACTCGTAGCTAATGTGCGTGCGAGGCAAACGAACAATGTGTACGCAAGATTAACGGTGTAGCTCGTGGTTAGCGAGGACGAGGGGGGCACGGGCGGCGCTCACGTGAGGTTGTTTACACGGCCTTCAAATCCGCTCCGGGGTACCTCCTCCAATCGGCTGCACGCGCACGGGGGACGCGACCTGCCTTCTGACCCTCGACCCCGAGTCCCGCGCGTGTGATTGGTGCGCGGCGCCGGGCAGGTAGCGGCGTCGGATTTCTTGGTGCCTGGGCACGTAGAGGGTGTGTGGACTGACCCCGGTGGCTAAGCGCCAGCCGCGGACCATGCCTCGAGCAGCAACGGTGAAGGTAGGAGAGCCGGAGGGCAGTAACCCTCCCCCGAGTACGGGAGAAGAGAGCCTCGGATCTCAAGGGAGCGGGGAGACGGAGGGCAGCATCCCCGACAATAACATCACGGGAGATCGTCAATGTCCACCGTTGAAGCTGACGGCACACAGCACAGTATATATTTTTCATGAATGCACCCGCGATATATTAACCAGGGCGGCCGTTAGGGTCGAACCGCGAACTTCTGCAGCAAGTGGCGAAACGTGCCGTGGTGGGCCACTCGGCCTGCCACGTTTTACAACGGCTCCTGCGTGCAGAGACATCGCTCAGCAACAAGCAGCAGATTATTCACCACACACGTAAGGCTCACTGGAATGTTGCGTGTACTTTACGTCTATTATATACGTGCCTAGTGTTTATTTCAGCGTCAATGTATGAACTGACCATCAGCCGTTATCTTTAGGGCTTCACTGTGTGTATTTTTATGGCTTCATTAGTGGCGGTGTTTGCCAGGTTCGCGGCTTTGTCGCAGAGGTTCGCAGTCGGGGTCCAAGCGGCCGCCCTGGTTAATACTACGGCGGTGTGTAATAACCATAACAAAACCGCGCGCTGTCTGCTTCGGAGTGGACGTTAAAGATCCCGTGACGTCGACGTCATTCGCAAGGGTAGGCCATTGTGTGCCGGCGTCTGAGTCCAGAGAATTTCACCAATTTCACAAATTTATACCGCAAATTACTCAGCGACTCCCCCCTTCTCCTCCTACTGGCAGACTGATGCCTGCAGATCACTGGTGCAAATGAGACTCCCAGCATGGTCTCTTGAGTTCTCATCCTAGTTACAACAATCGCACAACTTGAACTTGGGTTCATGCGGCGGTGGCGAGATGTTAACTCCCTCGCCCCTGACGTCTGTATTATTTGGAGTTTGGATGTCTCACTCTCTCCCCGTGTTTGCATGGATTTTTCTCCGGGTCCTCCGGGGTTTCCCTCCACATTTACGAACATTCGTTTAGTATTTGGCTGCTGCTAGAACTGTCCACGTGATAAGCCACTTCTTTAAGCTATCATTTGTGGCCAGGTCGCTTCTGAATGAGAGCCATATAGCACAGTGGGCCTTACCTGGTTAAAAATACGATTTTACGGACACGGCTCTCTCTATTTCCTTCCGAAGCCATTACAAAAATATATAATATAAAAAAACTTTTAAAAAAACACGCTTTTATGAAATGGCAGAACTCCACGACTCCAGGAAGTGGCCCGAAGCTTGCCACAACGTAAGGGGACCGTGGCCAATTACAGCCAACGTCAGTTGAGCGAGGACAATTAAACCCAAGCCGAAACATCTCCATATGAAGCAATTGATGGGACCCTGGGGACCCTGGGGTCCCATCAATGCCCCGGGATGGGAAAAACCGCGCAGAGACACGAGTCTTGCCTTACCGACAACAAAACTAGCGTCAATCAATTGGCCTCGTCGAGAGCTACTCGGGGCACTAAGTTTCGTAAAAAGTTGAATAATGACATAAACACGTTAAAGTCACCGCCTGGGGGTGGCGGTGGGGCTCGCCTTGGCAAAGCAGCTGAGGATCGACGGCTGACCGGAGGGCGTCGTCGCCGCGCGCGACTGCGGTGGACGCTCCCCCGGGCTTGCGTTTGGCCAGTGGGGTGGCGCCCATCGTGTCGATCGCCGCCTGCTGCTGCTGGCGCTTGTTGGTGCAAGTCTGGGCGGGCGGCGCGTTGCTGTCGGGATCACGAGTGGGCAGACTGAAGAAAAATAATAATTATTGACATGATTTTTGCGGGACCCCGGGGTCCCGTAAAATGATTCATATCTCCATATATATAAAAGGCAAAGTTGTGAATGTGTCATGCAACAAGCTTGAAATTTGCCATGTGGGTACATTCCAAACTATACACAATGGTATATTTGGGGGGGGGGAGCTCAATAATGCATATTTTATTTGCACGGCAAGTGACCTGTGACGTCAAATCTGTCACGTGACCCGCGCATGGGGAAGCGTAACGCATTGAAGTGTAGTGGTTAGCGCGCCAAGCTACGAACCCGGCGACCCGAGTTCGATTCCCGCTCACGGCCACCACTGGTGACGATTATTTGAACCGGTCTTGGGCCTCCCCTAGGTCGACTCAGCCTCAAACGCGTAACTGGTGTTGTGTGTGAACATCGCCACTGGAGAGACAAAGGCGGCCGGGCGTGGTGAATCCAAGTCCCGGGCGAAGCCGGGTAGTAAAGCTAGTAACATATAAAAACGAATGTTTATTTTTTTAATGATAAAATATAGTATTGTCATCAGTATAACATAAGTATAGCAAGTTTGCAGTCGATACCACATTGGTAAGTGGGTTAAAATTGAGTTACAAGATTTGAGGATACAACAACAACAGACAGAGTAAGTTAAATAAAAGCGTGTAATAATCATGCGACTTTGCCAGTTAAGAATCTCGTTCAATCAAATTGTCAACCGATGTAATGGCACACACAATGAATAGGGTAGACGTGATTTCTGATAGAGATGCAGGGGGGTGGAATGGTTAGCGCACTGTTATGAATCCGGTAACCTTAGTTTGGGCCACAGCGAACAGAAATGTGCAATGAAAAAGGGCCATTGCCCGAAACGTCGCCTATCATGTTACGTTTATAAGGCCACACGCGGTGTTGTTATTACTGACGGCATGTGTTGAGTGTTTAGCCACGGGAACTATTGGGAACCACTTCAGCGTCGTCGTCGTCGTCATCACACGACTGATGTTGACGGAGAGCAGCAATAACAACCATGTACATTTACATCGCGGTGCTTGAGCCCAAGGAGTCGCGGAGGGGTGGGAAGCGACGCGTTGACCGAGGCAGGGACAGCCGCGGCCGTGGATGCGCACGAGGCGGTGGTGGGGACAGCGCGAAACGACGGGCGGAGTCCTTCCTCATCCTCCTCGGTGTAAAACCACAACACGCCCAGGGTGACCACGGGGGCATCGCTAATGGGAGCGAACACTTCACTCGCCGACACACAGACACACTCGTGTGTGTGTGTGTTGGGGGGAGCGGTAGTGTAGTAGTGGGTTAGCGCCCTGCGCTACGAACCCGGCCACCCGAGTTCGATTTCCGCTCACGGGCCACCAACACCGGTGACGATTATCTGAACCGGTCCTGGGCCTCCCCTAGGTCGACTCAGCCTCAAATGAGTGCCTGGTGCGGTAAGCATGGCCACTGGGGAGACAAAGGCGACCGGGCGTGGTGCTGGCCACCCATCCCCTCTTATACCGTTCCGGCCTTCATAGGTGCCGTTCAGTGAAGGCTCTACGGGTACCTTAACCTATCGAGGCGGCATGTACACCACTAGTCATGGCAAAATGTCGGCTCGTCAACTGTGGGCCCAATCCAATGGGTTGTAAAGTAGATAAAGTAACGTTCAAGGCTACACTCACCACCAAGTAAAAATGCAATCCCATCAGTCCGCAATTGCCAGCTGGCTGCGGGACTTGCATTGAGAGACGCGGAGAGATACAGAGGTCACACGCAGGCGAGAGACTTTCATTCACAAACTGTGGTGATGATGATGATGGAATGTCAGTGTGGGGCTAGGGCCGGACTCGTGACGCCTCGGGATCAAGTAATGATAACGAAGTGGTGGTGGCGGCCTGCAACGAGGAGGACATGAAACAACGTGGGAGACGGAGCCATTCAACGAGCGGGCACTCGGGTGGAACGTGAACATCAGGCGCGTGGCGAGCGTCATTAACATAATGTATGCGAGCGTGCGACGTGTGGACACGCTTAACAGAAGCACACGAGCCACATTAACATAATAGTTGGCGTCATTAACATAATATATGTAGTCATTAGCAGTCGATGGTGCCGTTGCCAGCGGTGATAGCCAATGGCAGCGCGGCACGGGCGGCGCCGTCACTTCCAGTCAGAGAGTTTGCGGGAAGCGCTGTGCGCGTGCGCCCCACTCCACAGTGCCGAGTTAGCGTCAGGCGGTTAACACCACACATACATACCGTATGTACTTCGTGTGTGTGTGTAGATGTATGTATCGCCACATTTCCTAGATGGTCCGGCTATCGATCGCTGTTTGGCACTTGCCCTAACGGTCTGTGAAGGCTCTACGGTCTACGGGGACCGTTGTTTTACAGTCGGAGACGGTGGGGGGGGTCACCGTCACTCGTGCTGTGAGGGTCAGCAGTGAGCTGTCGGTTATCAGGGACGAGAGTGTCCCTCTCAGTCGGAGGTCACTCCACCGGGGGGAGCTCGGTGACCTGTGGGTGACCGGTGGATGCGCCTAAGGTCGGACGGACACGTGTGAGTGTACAGGTGAGACACGTGTGTGTGTGTGTACAGGTGAGACACACGTGTGTGTGTGTACAGGTGAGACACACGTGTGTGTGTACAGGTGAGACACGTGTGTGTGTACAGGTGATACACGTGTGTGTAAAGGTGAGACACACGTGTGTGTGTACAGGTGAGACACACGTGTGTGTGTAGGTGAGACTGAGGGTACAGGTGAGACACACGTGTGTGTGTGGGTGAGACTGTGAGTGTACAGGTGAGACACACGTGTGTGTGTGTGTACAGGTGAGACACGTGTGTGTGTGTAGGTGAGACTGTGAGTGTACAGGTGAGACACGTGTGTGTATAGGTGAGACACGTGTGTGTGTACAGGTGAGACACGCGAGTGTACAGGTGAGGCACACGTGAGTGTACAGGTTAGGCACACGTGTGTGTACAGGTGAGACACGTGTGTGTGTGTGTACAGGTGAGACACGTGAGTGTACAGGTGAGACTGTGAGTGTACAGGTGAGGCACACGTGTGTGTACAGGTGAGACACTTGAGTGTACAGGTGAGACACGTGTGTGTACAGGTGAGACTGTGTGTAGGTGAGACACGTGTGTGTACAGGTGAGACACGTGTGTAGGTGAGACTGTGTGTAGGTGAGACACGTGTGTGTGTGTGTGTGTAGGTGAGACACGTGCGTGTATACAGGTGAGACACGTGTGTAGTTGAGACACGTGTGTGTGTGTGTACAGATGAGACACGTGTGTGTGAGAAGGTGAGACACGTGTGTGTGAGAAGGTGAGACACGTGTGTGTGAGAAGGTGAGACACGTGTGTGTGAGAAGGTGAGACACGTGTGTGTGTACAGGTGAGACACGTGTGTGTGTACAGGTGAGACGTGTGTGTGTGTGTGTGTGCATGTGAGACACGTGTGTAGGTGAGACACGGGTGTAGGTGAGACACGTGTGTGTACAGGTGAGACACGTGTGTGATTACAGGTGAGACACGTGTGTGTGTACAGGTGAGACACGTGTGTGTGTGTGTAGGTGAGACACGTGTGTGTACAGGTGAGACACGTGTGTGTGTGTGTGTACATGTGAGACACACATGTGTGTGTACAGGTGAAACACGTGTGTGTAGGTGAGACACGTGTGTGTACAGGTGAGACACGTGTGTGTGTGTACAGGTGAGACACGTGTGTAGGTGAGACACGTGTGTGTACAGGTGAGACACGTGTGTGTGTACAGGTGAGACGTGTGTGTGTACAGGTGAGGCACGTGTGTAGGTGAGACACGGGTGTAGGTGAGACACGTGTGTGTACAGGTGAGACACGTGTGTGTACAGGTGAGACACGTGTGTGTGTGTGTACAGGTGAGACACGTGTGTGTGTACAGGTGAGACACGTGCATGTGTAGGTGAGACACGTGTGTGTGTGTACAGGTGAGACTGTGTACAGGTGAGACACGTGTGTGTGTGTACAGGTGAGACTGTGTGTGTGTGTGTGTACAGGTGAGTGAGCACGTTACAGTATTTCGAGCGGACGTGCATCATAATTACTCTTGTAATCATCATCCAGCGGTGGGTGACAGGAAGCAGTGACATCCATCACCCCGTGTTGCGGATCGGCAATTGAAAGATGACGTCACAATACAATTACTATTATGACGTCATTTGCCGTGGTGATGAAATCGAGGACAGACCAGGTATCGAGCACTTGAGCGGGCATCTGATTTATGAAACGGCGACGTGAGTCCGTGGAGCCGAGGCTGACATTCACTATTAGTTTGTGGGTCAGATGGTGTGAGTAAGTAAACTGTGTGTCGTACACCCTCCTCCACCCGACACAGCCAGTGAAAAAGTTGTCACGTGACGAACGAACGCGCAAGTGTTTTTTCACCGGTGTCTCGTTGGAGAGCGATCTCACCGCGTTTAACACTCCGGTGTCCAGTTCGGTCACGTGACAAGTCCATGAATTGGCGGTGTCGGGTGGAGGAGGGTTTCACGACACGACAATATTACGGCACCTACGCCATCCGACCCAACGACTGACGATGAATCGCAACGTCGGTGGCAAAAGCCTCCGCGTTGAATTCAGCCCGACCCCGTCGAGACGGCCGTCCACCACGTCGCGAGGTTTGCTCGTTGAGCACAGGTGAGTTGCCACGGCCGATGTCTGGGTGATCGTGCCGGCCAGGTGTAAGAATCAACGCGATGTCGTGAGGCCTGTTTAGTCAGGAAAGCCTCGCTGAGCCTCGTGACTCAGGAAGGGCCGACCAGGTTTGGGCTTGATTCAAGATGTTTCCCTCTGGGGCCTACAACATAGCGACCAGTCTGTGGAAATATAACAGAGTCCTGTGCGTTATAATAATACTTTCATTTTATACAGCGTCATTCATGCTAATAGCATCCCAGAACGCTGTGCATTAATTAAATATGAGGACCAAATCCCATATACAGCGACTGTCAAGCAAATTTAAACCTTAACTACAAAATAAAAAATGAATATCTTCTTTGGTTACAAATTAATAAATGGCACCACAACAAAAAGCACAAACAACTAAATAGTGATCACAATAAAGATGATGATAACTGTCACGCTTGAGATTTGGGATGCTCTCTGCCTGCAAAACTGCACCTCGCCACTGAGATTCTTCTAGTTAGAATGAAACTAAAAACATCCTCATTTTCAAGGATATGTAAGGTAAACTCATTGTGTGTGTTTTTGTAAACATTTTACTGTAAGGCGCACCTGAAGCCCTTCACCGTGTCTTTTGCGCCTTTCAAAACGTCAATACATAAATAAATGAACTAAGGGTCAAATGCGACTTTGAAACTCCCTCTCCGTGGCCAATCGCACGCAGACACCCTGCTGGAGCGTTGTCCAAGCGTAACGCGAGCAGCAAGCGGCGTGTCGACTGGGCAGAGAGTGGCGCGTGCAGGGACGAGAGCGGCCGAGCGCGCTGTCTTGTCAACACACCGTTGCCAGGTCGCAAACACTGCCCTCCGGGACCCGATTAGTGCGCCTAAGATGCTCGCGGTGATGGATAAGTATCGTTAGCGGGCCGCTGTCAAGTGGTCGGCCATGTTTGGTCGCGGCCCGGTTGATTTGTGTGAAGTGAAGTTGCGGGCCGTAGATTCCGCGAGCCCGGCGGGTAACCGAGTGTCCACGGCAGGCCCGGGTGAGATCGGCAGCTCGCAACGCTTGTCGTGTGAACGTGGGCAGGATAAACTCACGGTCCCCTTTGTGTCTTCCTCAGCATGGCTTCCGGCAGAGAGGAAGGGACATTGACAACGCCCGTGAGTGGACACCAAATGCACCCCCCCCCACCTCTCCTCTCCGTTTCTTATTCATTTTCATTCCACTGCCCTCCCCACGCCGTGCGGGTATGCGTGGGAGTTGTTTGACCGCGCAGCTGAGTGGGTGCGGGTCAGCGCAAGAGCCGTGTTTACATGCACCAATGTGACATTCAAACAGAGCGCCCCATATACATGCAGCAGGCCTATGACCGACCTATCCGGAGTGCGCCCGATCTCATGAGGTCTCGGCAGCTAAGCGGCGTGAGGCCTGGATAGTGCTTGGGCGGGCGACCGCTACCGTGCGCAGGTCGTCATGTCGTGGTGGAGGGTCCTCATCCGGCAGTGGACCCACGGAAAGCGCCGTACACGTTTAATATTCACCACGCCGCTGTTTGCAGGTGTCGCCCGAGCACGACCCAGACAACGAACATTTCTTCTTCGAGAACGACTACCCTTCAAACCCGCAGCAACGCGGCACCGTGCTGGGTGAGCATTGCCAAGACAAAATCTAGCCTGAACAGATTGTTGGGGCAAGTGCTGTTAGTGAGCGGCGCCTATGAAGGCTGGCACGGCACACAAGGGGGTTGGTGGCCAGCATCACGCCCGGCTGCCTTTTTTTGCTCCCTCGTGGCGATGTTTACACACCGCAACAGGTACTAATTTGAGTCAACTGATAGTTCGATTCCCGCTCACGGCCAACGCCGTGATCCTCAACGTCACGCGAAGCCTCTGTGTCATCACAAAGGTCGCCTGCTCACAGGCCAATCAGGAGCTACCATTTAATTATTCATTCACCTGGGAAGCCCACTGAGCTATATAGCTCTTTTTCAGAAGCGACCTGGCCACAAATAATAGCTCACCAAAGTGGCTCAATAGCGTGGACATTTATAGCAGCCAAATACTCTAAATGCAAGTTGATTCTAAACGTGGAAGGAAAAACCGGAGGACCCGGAGAAAAATCCACGCAACTTTAGGGAGGCCATGTAAACTTCAATTATACAGACGTCAGGTTTCAGAAATGAACCCACCACCTCCTCCATACCAGGCGATGGAGGTAACATCTCGCCACTGCTGGCCATTGCAAGCCGAGTGACGTCGTGGGTGAATGTGTTCAGGGAACAACCCAAATGTGTTCCTCATGCGGATTGTGAAATTACAGCACGCATAGCTGCGCTGCTGCTGCCTCCGCTCACAAACAGCAAGAAGGCAAGACTCCCATCATGCCTTGCGCGCAATGTCATGCTGACACCGCGTTGCCTGCTCATTGATGGGGCTGGGCGAATTTGAGTACATGCCGTGTAGTGGTCACATGACATGCATGCAAGGGATGATGGGAGTCATGCCTTCCTGCCGTTTGTGAGCAGCGGTAGCAGCACACGTTTTTTACGTGCTGTTATTTGATATTGTTTACAGCCCGTACATATATTATTCTGTTGTGTTGATGGGCATTGTTGTCGCTTACGGAACGGGTTTCCGATCGAGCATGCGGTTTATTGACCCTCAATGTCCATGCTGGCTGCAGAATTCCTGTCGGGTGAGGAGCGCGACTTGTACAGCGAGCACAACGTCAGATTCTGGATGAGCTCGGGAACCGCTCCCCACGACAGCCGGGTAACTCGCACAAGGCATCCGCAATCCGTCAGTCGCCCGTCCGCTCACTCACTCTCACCCGCAAATCACTAACTTGCGTAAAGACCACGTGCGGCAACGTTGCCCCCACTGGCAGACTATACCCATCCATTAGGCATCGCACCTTCCGGATGCCTTTGGGCAATGAGGATGGTGCAAATACCAAATACGGCGCGATTGGGTGTTTGAAAGTTCGTAACCTGAACTCGCCACGGTGGCAAGATGTTAACTACCTCGCCAGGCATACAGGAAGTCGTGGGTTCAAACCTGACCCTGATGCCTGTTGTATATATTTGGAGTTTGCATGTTCTCCCTGTGCTCGTGTAGATTTTTCTCAGGGTCCTCCAGTTTTTCCCTCCACATTTATAAACAAGCGTTTAGAGTATTTGGCTGCTATGAATGTCCACGTGATGAGCCACTTCGTTGTGCTGTAATTTGTGGCCAGGTCGCTTCTGAAAAAGAGCTGTATAGCTCAGTGGGCCTTACCTGGTAAAATAAAAATCGTTACAAATAGTAAAATAATATCTGTGTTTTTGTTTGTGTTTCTTGTGCCAGCCTTTCGGGAATATTATGAAACACCTGAAGGAATTGTTTCCTGGTGCCAGCCATAGCACGTCCATCATGAAGTTCCTCGCACACGTGGTCCGCATCGAATGTGAGTGACTCCGCGTTCATCTTTTTCCAGGATTATTCGCCGCAGTCAAAGCCTGGCAGGGCCTCTAGGCGAGTGGGGGGGGGGTGGGGTCAGTAGGCAGCGTCGCAGGTTTAAGTATCAGAATCGGAATGTTTATTTCTCCTGGAGAAATCCGATGAGCTATGAAGCTCTTTTTCACAAATCTGGTGGGGGCAGGTCAGCAAGTTACAACAACAAACAATAGAAAAAATGATAGGACTGCAAAGTATAGGAAAGGTAAGCAAATTACTAAGATAAATACGTAAAATAGATCATGTATATAAGTTCAAATTGCAAAAGGACATCGGTTCCCAAGCTTGGGAAAGGCAGCAAAACAAGAGTAAGAACAGTTCCAGACACCACTAAGACAACACCACACAGTGCCTCTGTAGTGATACACTCAGAGACATTAGGAGTAGCAGGCACTCTATTTATTACAGCCTCCACAGGGTACAAGGGGGAACTACACTTTCAGTCAGGACAGCTAACAGACTGCCTGACTGACGACGCCGAGAAGGTGAAGACGGTGACGAAGACTCCAGTAGCCCGACGGGATTCCACTCCAAGCAACAGCCCCAAACCTTCGCTCGGGGTCCCCTTTTATCCTCCTAGCCTGGCCTCGCTCCGCCCCCGGCCACGCCCCCCTTCTAGAACCTACTCGTGGGTTCCCGGCTTACCTCACTTGCCCCCTCTATCACCTTTGCCCTACATCTCTCTCTCTGCTTATCACGTGATCTGCTGACAGACAGGATTGCTGCAACTGCAGATTCACTTTTCTGCCAGCAACCCGCGCTATGCTCCATGGTGACCCATTCCATGTCACTACACCTCAATAAAATTGCACTTACAAATGTAACTGTCAATACATGGGTAAGGATAAAAGTTAACCAGAAGGGCAAGCAAAGGCATCCCGTTATCTGCACTCATCAGCGCTTGTTTGTCGATAAACGATAATTATTTTTTTTTCCCTTCTGTTTGGTTTTTCTCCCGTGCGCTGTGGGATCCGGTTGGCCGAATGTTTGAACCAGCTGACCAGAGCCCTGCTCCGGGTTTAACACAAAGCACTCGGTTGGGAAGTGCCGAACGTCACTGAATGTTTGAGAATAAACCAAAATAATACATTTGTCATCGTAGCCAAAGCTGTCGTCGATGCCTCCACACCTAGCCCAGGAGAAAGCGTCGAGAGGGCTCGGGGAAGCTTCCTTCTGTTAATACGATATCTCTCGCCCTCTCTCAAGCGGTAGGCTGCGTTTGCACGGGGGAATGGAATGGAGTGTGGCGTGTGGACCCTAGAAGCCGCCAAGTAGGGCCACGTTTTACGTGGACTGTGTTGTCCACGGTCAACACTCGATTATGAGAGGTAATTGTGGGGATAGGTGGCCCGGATAGAACAAACAACACGGCTAACGCCAAACGCGGGAGATAATCTACGAGCGCGTAGCTATGGCAGAGAGTGTCGAGTTCAACACTCCTCGGATAACGAGGTAGGGGGGTAAAGATAAGACGGAGAAGGCGTCGTGCGTTTTCATCGCTTGTCACAGCTGTCGACGAGTGGGGAGCAGATAATGAGGACTCAAACTAGCATGCTCCGTCGAGGTATCTTTTTTTCCACAGTTAACTTGCAACCTGGATACAGGGCGCCTCTACGGGTTATTGAGGCCTGCTCTTTGACGCCACTGGCCACACATCTGCAAACTGGTTGTCGTACTCGCGGACCGCTGACTGCCACACCGCGGCACAATTCCGGCACGCGCTTCGCGTAACGCCGTTTGTCATCCTGCCCTCCGCCGTGCCTCGCTGTCGGTGGCCCCCAGACCACACGGAGAGCATCGTTCGTCTGTCGAGCTTCTGCGACCTGGTGCGCTGGTTCGGGCCCTTCAGGGAAATCGTCTACAATCAGAAGAAGACGTGCGTGTGCCTGTGCAACGTGAGTTCCGCTCGTGCACCCATGTGGGGATTAGCCGCCGGGCGTGCGACCGAACGGACGGCCCGGTGGGAATTGCGAAATTAGCGACGGAAACATTCGTCAACCAAGCGTGTTTATCTTAGTCAACGATGACCGTGAGTGGATGACAGTTGTCGAGCGTGACGATGACTGCCACTGCCCACTAATACCACCACCACCATTATGCCCATCATCTTCATCACTATCACCGTAATAATCACTGTCATCACCACAACGAAGACAGACTGAGGTAACTTAGTAACTTATCGGAGACCTCGGTGGCCTGAGGAAGACCGATGATGCTGACTGGCTGTGTATGCATTGAAAAATATTTACCTGCTTCACTGGCTGGGAAGGAAATTGTGCACCCCTCACCAACATTTAAACTCTCAACGCTGAGGCGAGACTCAACCTCACCACACTAAGACAAGACTAAACCTACCACACTAAGACAAGACTCAACCTCACCACACTAAGACAAGACTAAACCTCACCACAGTAAGACAAGACTCAACCTCACCACACTAAGACAAGACTAAACCTCACCACACTAAGACAAGACTAAACCTACCACACTAAGACAAGACTAAACCTCCCACACTAAGACAAGACTAAACCTACCACACTAAGACAAGACTCAACCTCACCACAGTAAGACAAGACTCAACCTCACCACACTAAGACAAGACTAAACCTACCACACTAAGACAAGACTAAACCTCACCACAGTAAGACAAGACTCAACCTCACCACACTAAGACAAGACTAAACCTCACCACACTAAGACAAGACTAAACCTCCCCACACTAAGACAAGACTAAACCTCCCACACTAAGACAAGACTAAACCTCCACACACTAAGACAGGACTAAACCTCCCCACACTAAGACAAGACTCAACCTCACCACACTAAGACAAGACTAAACCTACCACACTAAGACAAGACTAAACCTCCCACACTAAGACAAGTCTAAACCTCCCACACTAAGACAACACTAAACCTCACCACACTAAGACAAGACTCAACCTCACCACACTAAGACAAGACTAAACCTCCCCACACTAAGACAAGACTAAACCTCCCACACTAAGACAAAACTAAACCTCCCACACTAAGACAAGACTAAACCTACCCACACTAAGACAAGACTAAACCTCCCCACAGTAAGACAAGACTAAACCTCCACACACTAAGACAAGACTCAACCTCACCACACTAAGACAAGACTAAACCTCCACACACTGAGACAAGACTAAACCTCCCACACTAAGAAAAGACTACACCTCCCCACACTAAGACAAGACTAAACCTCCCACACTAAGACAAGACTAAACCTCCCCACACTAAGACAAGACTAAACCTACCCACACTAAGACAAAACTAAACCTACCCACACTAAGACAAGACTACACCTCCCCACACTAAGACAAGACTAAACCTCCCCACACTAAGACAAGACTAAACTTCCCACACTAAGACAAGACTAAACCTCCCACACTAAGACAAGACTAAACCTCCCACACTAAGACAAGACTAAACCTACCCACACTAAGACAAAACTAAACCTCCCCACACTAAGACAAGACTAAACCTCCCCACACTAAGACAAGACTAAACCTATCCACACTAAGACAAGACTACACCTCCCCACACTAAGACAACACCAAACCTCACCACACTGAGACAAAACTCAACTTCACTAGGCTGAGATTGTAACTAACAAAATCCACACCTATGAACGAAGTGATTTTGTGTTGTCTTCTTGGTGGTGCCTTCCCGCACTAGCTGGAGTTGCTCATGATGGAGTCACAGGTGCTCGTGTCGAAGCAGAAAATGAGGTATGGGCAGAGGAGCACACAGATCGGAGGTCAGAGGTTAGGGATGCAGAAGCACTGGAGTTGGGCGGCTGAGGGCAAGTGACATGGCTGAGCGGCACCACGTTTGTCACCGTAGTTCATGCCCAGCGGCCGCCCCGGTTAATACCGTTCACCATAAATACTACGCGCCGTCCACTTCACGGTGCACGTTAAAGATTCCGCGACATTTTACGCAAGCACAGGAGGCCGTGTGTGCCAGCGTCGTGGCCCACATTTGCCAAATTAGAGAAATGACGTCGACAATTAAGTGGGAAAAGCCACGCGGCAACATCGCCCTCTACCGTGAAACGACCGCGGACAAATACCGAAGCACGGCCCTCCGTGCTGGCCTCGCGCTGCGCGAGCGGCACAATTACGATGTGCTCATGGTCTGATTGAAATTTCAGTGCCATTAGCCGGCACTCATTTCTTTCATTAATTTGAGGGGTCGCACAATGGACTGTTCATGAAGTACAGGTCACATGTCTGACCACCACGTGTCCGCCCCGAGCGATGAACCACCCCCACCCAGTGCAGTACTTGTACACGCTGGAACTGGCATCGTCCGTAGATGTTCACATATTTGACCTCTTCACAAATCCGACTGTACCCGAGTCCCCAGCGATTAGGATATCGAATACGCGACGTCGTATTGTGCCCCGTGCCATGGGATGTTGCCATCGTGCCACCGTGATCACACTGGACTTGCAGTGTAGGGATCGCCCATTCCATTTGATCTCCCGGCGTGCCAGTTAAATCAATGGACACGTTTCTTAGGTCCCACCGCCTCTGTCCACCCAGCGGTATAAATTACTTCGCCATGGTCGGTCGATTGTAAGGCGGCATGTGGTGGGGTAAAGTGTGGGTACTCCTATACCTTTCAAGATTTCTGCCCAGTGTGGAAAAGTATTCCAAAATTCCCCGGTGGCGAGATGTTATCTGCCTTGCCTGGTATACAGGAGGTTGTGGGTTCAATCCTGACCCTGACACCTCTATATTTGGAGGTTGCATGGATTTCTCTCTGGATCCAGTTTTTCCCTCCACATTTAGAAACATGCGTTTAGAGTATTTGGCTACTATAAATGTGCACGTGATAAGCCACTTCGTTGAGCTATCAATTGTGCCCAGGTCGCTTCTGAAAAATAACTTTCTAGCTCAGTGGGCCTTAACTGGTAATACAAATAAAGTTGAGTTTATTTAAATATTCCCTCTCGAGGGGCTCTCTAGTGCTCCCTCTGGAGTGGACGGTGGAGGTCTCTCCGCCACCCCTTCCGCCAGCGGTGGCACGAGCGAGCAATTGCAGGGGCTGCGCCTTCACCTTTGCGCCTCTGCCACACCTCCTTTCCCCTTAGCTGGTTCGCGGGTCACATGAGCAGTGCGGCGGCGGAGGAGAAACTGCGGGGGCGACCTAGCGGCACCTACCTGGTGCGCTTCTCCGAGTCGGAGCGCGAAACGGGCAGCTTCGCGCTGTCCATCGTTGTCGCTGGCGGTGGTGGCACGGAGCACGTGACCATCAAGGTGAGCCGACTCCACCGCCCCACCTCCTCTTCCGCCACGGTGACCAGCGTCCCTCCTACAGCAGACCACCCCCGGCTTGTGGCAGAGGCTCGCGGTTCGAGCCCCGCGGCCGCCCTGGTTAACGCTGCCCCGGGCTATTAACGGTTAATGCTGCACGTTGTCTGCTTCGTGGCGGACGTTAAAGATACCACGATGTTACGTTGAACTGCTTCCGTGCCGTACGCAGCCAACTGTGCCAATCGGAGGTGCAATCCCGAGTGAGAGGAAGCCACGTGTACTGATGTCGTGGTCCAAATTAGCCAGATTATAATAATTGTCCGCAAAATAATGATGATAATAGAGCCCCCCCGATCTGAGCGTCCTCACAAATGCAGTTCCTTATCTTTTTTCCGTAAACATCGGCGTGGGAGTGGTGGTGCAGTGGTTAGCGCAACCTTGCGATGAGCCCAAAGGCCTGGGTTTGATTCCCGGTAGCGACTAACATCGGTGGCCAGTAGTGACATCCGTGACGGTCCTAGACCCCAACCCCTGCTTCACCAACCCACACCGACCAGTGTGGTGAAGTATGGTTCATAAAAGTTGCCAATGACGGACACAGCGTGGGGGAAGCAGTGCAGTGACACGAGGAAATTAAGGCATCGGTAGCATGTCTGCGTGTTAACCGGTATCGTGCCGGAGTGTTAACTGGTATCGTGCCGGAGTGTTAACCGGTATCGTGTCGGAGTGTTAACCGGTATCGGGCCGGAGTGTTAACCGGTATCGTGCCGGGGTGTTAACCGGTATTGTGTACATCTCTGCCATTGTTTCTGCCATCATCAACATGAACTCTGATGTGGGCAGGTATCTCAACCACCGTGGGCTAGTGTACAGTGGGCTAGTGTACAGTGGACTAGTGTACAGTGGGCTAGTGTACCCTGGGCTAGTGTACAGTGGGCTAGTGTACAGTGGGCTAGTGTGCAGTGGGCTAGTGTACCCTGGGCTAGTGTACCCTGGGCTAGTGTACAGTGGGCTAGTGTACAGTGGGCTAGTGTACCGTGGGCTAGTGTACAGTGGGCTAGTGTACCCTGGGCTAGTGTACCGTGGGCAAGTGTACAGTGGTCTAGTGTACAGTGGGCTAGTGGACAGTGGGCTAGTGTACAGTGGGCTAGTGTACCCTGGGCTAGTGTACCCTGGGCTAGTGTACAGTGGGCTAGTGTACCGTGGGCTAGTGTACAGTGGGCTAGTGTGCCCTGGGCTAGTGTACCCTGGGCTAGTGTACCGTGGGCTGGTGTAGAGTGGGCAGTGTATCATGGGCTAGTGTACAGTGGGCTATTGTACAGTGGGCTAGTGTACAGTGGGCAGTGTATCATGGGCTAGTGTACAGTGGGCTAGTGTACAGTGGGCTAGTGTACAGTGGGCTAGTGTACCCTGGGCTAGTGTATCATGGGCTAGTGTACACTGGGCTCGTGTACAGTGGTCTAGTGTACAGTGGGCTAGTGTACAGTGGGCTAGTGTACAGTGGTCTAGTGTACACTGGGCTCGTGTACAGTGGGCTAGTGTACAGTGGGCTAGTGTACAGTGGGCTAGTGTACCGTGGGCTAGTGTACCGTGGGTTAGTGTACAGTGGGCTCGTGTACCCTGGGCTAGTGTACCGTGGGTTCGTGTACCCTGGGCTAGTGTACCGTGGGCTAGTGTACAGTGGGCTAGTGTACAGTGGGCTAGTGTATCATGGGCTAGTGTACAGTGGGCTAGTGTACATTGGGCTAGTGCACAGTGGGCTAGTGTACAGTGGGCTAGTGTACCGTGGGCTAGTGTACCGTGGGCTACTGTACAGTGGGCTAGTGTACAGTGGGCTAGTGTACCCTGGGCTAGTGTACAGTGGGCTCGTGTACCCTGGGCTAGTGTACCGTGGGCTAGTGTACAGTGGGCTAGTGTACAGTGGGCTAGTGTACCGTGGGCTAGTGTACAGTGGGCTAGTGTACTGTGGGCTAGTGTACAGTGGGCTAGTGTATCATGGATTCGTGTACCCTGGGTTCGTGTACCCTGGGCTAGTGTACAGTGGGCTAGTGTACAGTGGGCTAGTGTACAGTGGGCTAGTGTATCATGGATTCGTGTACCCTGGGCTAGTGTACCGTGCGCTCTGTAATCATTTCCACCATTGTCTTCCCTGCGAGCTATTCCGCTGATCACTTCATCTCAAGCTCTCTCCATCCTGTTTCATTCTTGAACGTTCTTTGTTTCACTGAACGTCCCCCCTTGCTTCCTTGAAGTCGTCAAGCAGCATTTTCCTGCCTCTGCCTCTTGGGGATTTTGCCAACATTCTCTTTTATAACTCAACTACTGTCAGGCTTCTCGCCTGTTAGGAATGTGCCCAATCCACACGTTTAGCTTGCCTCGTGTGGGTGATCGGCAGGAACTGATGTACGTTTGCCATTTGTATTTATATACTTGATCTATTTTTACACGTCCTATACTTTGCACTCCGATCGTTGTCGGTAATGTTTGTCGTTATAACTGCCTGATCCGTGAAAAAGAGGTTCATTGCTCATCGGATTTCTCCAGGATCAATAAAGATTTTGAATCTGATCATCAGCTTGTAGTAGATGCTCACCGCCAATATTCTGATTCGTGACTGATTACTAGGTTATAGATTTAATTCGGACTTCATGGATCTTGCCCTTGGCCTATTCTCAAGCCGTCCCCCGCCGTTTCTAAATGCTACATTTGTTTGCGTGAGAATTATTCTCACCGCCATTAACAATAATAACTGCCGTGTCGTTGACCGTTTGTACTCCACTTGGCCACCTGATTTGTTTGGCTCTGCAGGGGGTTGGAAGGTTTCACGACAGATATTTATCCGGATCATTACGTGGTGTGAAAGAATCATACGCACCCATCATCAGCCTCATCAAACACAGCATCATCAACATCAACAGCTGCCGTTCGCCACTAAGTGGCGGTGATGTCAACACTGCGCTTGTGCCAGGCTATGTGCACTTTGAGACCACTTGAAGTGTCGAAGGCTCGCTGACAGGTGATCACGGGACAGACCCAGCTGCCATGGGTTGACTGGCTGAAATGACTGGCAGATGCATCAGCTGTGTCCCCCACCATGTCAACTTGCTGTGTTTTAGCCACCCAGTGTTCTGCACGTTGTTGTGAGAATCGCTCCTCTGCCCTCCGTTGTTGTTGGAGAGCAACTGCCTCCATCTGCCCAGTAGCATCCTTCACAAGCCGCCTCCATAGAGGTTGATCTTGACACCGCTGGTGCCCGTCATTGCCAAGTCCACTCAGCTATACATCCTTCTGTACCAGATCAGTCCATCTTTTCTTGAGCCCCCTCTATCTGGCTAAACAGAAGCTACTTGGGCATGCGCTGGCTGGGCATGTAGGCCGCGTGACCCAGCCAACGCCTTACCTGCCAGAGGAGCTCACCGATGATGGTACTGTGTCCAGACCTGTCAAGGATCTGTGAGCACCTCACAAATTCCAGTCTGCAGGTTAAACCCAGGATGCATCGTCGGCAGGCCAGCCTGAATGTTTCAAACCGACGCAGCGTCATCACACGCATCGCGCATCAGCACCGGCATCCTTCCTTCCACAATGTCAATCCGTCAAGCGGTCACCTGTTGAGGATGCGTCCGATCGTTTGCCCTTCCCTCGATTGTTTTCACGAGGCTTCTCTCCTCGGGAAACGCCTCTCCAGAACCTCCCCGCCGCATTACCCGTTGGTCTCCCCTCCCCGTGCACGCCGTCTCGCTCGCTGGCAGGGCGACCCCAAGATGGTGAACTCGGAGGTGGCGGCGGCGAGAGACGATCCCAACCTGTGGCTGGAGTACTGCGCGGACAGCGACGGGCGCAGGTACCCCAGCCTGCCCGTGCTGATGAACAAGCGGCTCATGGAAGACGCCTTCCACGATGACCACGAGGACACCGCCTGCGAGGCAGCGTGCCCCGACCTGCCGCTCAACGCCATATTCAAGGCCTACAAGAACAAGTCCTGAGTCTCACGGCGATCGGCGGCGGGGGTGAGGCCTGCATCACGTGGGGCCGTCTGCGTGCTTCGGGAGCATTCTTGCCACGCGTGCCGGTTGTAAAACGATCACTTTTTTGCATCCGTCATCTCCGTCGTCGTCAGCCGTCGTCCGTACACTGCGTGAGGGTCTCCCCAAGCCGTCGCCATCTCTCACGGTCTGAGTCCGCACGGAGCCGGCAGCGTCGCGGTGTCCTCCCTGGTGTGTTCCCTTCTTGCCGGGCTGTGAGCGCCCGACTCACGGTAAGACGTTTCGTCCGGCACTGCAAGCGTCCGCAGCTGCGCTGATCGAGTACCGGAGGGGAGTATTTTCGACCTCACAGCCACTGCGTTTGTAGTTTTAGCGCCACGCTCCCGTCACTTCTCGCACTGCCAGGGGCGTATTACCGAGGCGGAAGTGGCAGAGGTGTGAATGTTAACTTTTTGTTTGACCACCAAAGTTATTTTTTTATTTCCTCTTTGGCTCTCGGTAAGGAATAGGTTCCCCACTCCTTGCGTACACCTCTCACACCTCTTGCCAACACTGAACTCGACCCATTCAACAGGGGCGCAACTATGGGGTATGGCAGCGAATGCGACGCATCGGGGCACAGTTGGCCACAAGGAGGCCCCGAAGCAACAGATAAACAAGTAACAAAATGTGAAGAAAACGTATTTAGAAAAATATGAATACAAAATTATCTGCGATCTACCGTGGACCAAGCCCATATCAATAGAGCAGCATCAAATTGTTTGATCCACCTCTTTGAGGAAATCCTAGAGCGATGGGCTGGCATGTAAGATGCAACGATTACTTAATTGTGAGTATTGAAACCTTTACATCTTTTGTTATTAAAAACGTCACCGTGAGACTGTTGTTGTGAGATACGCACAACAACAACAAAGAATACTAGCCTACATATTATTGTATACGGGGTCAAAAACGATCCGTAGCTATTTCAGTAAGAGTGAGTCGGGAGAAAGGATCTTACATAGCCCCCCCCCCCCCCCCCCCCCCCATTGAAATAGGGAGTTGCGCCCCTGCCATTTAACTTCATTCACACTCTCAACCGACGTCACCCTCGCTGAACCTCACTCTTACTTCCCGCTCGCCTGCCCTTTCTACATATGCATGCACGTTGAACTTCCTTCGCACCGTACGTACCACGTTTGCAAGCGAGACTTCTCCTGGCCTCCTGAGTCCTCGCCTGGTCAAACAAAACAAACCCGACTTGATTCTGCCACGCTCACCCTTACCGGAGGTGGTCCTCACCGGCAACGTATGTGCCTCACCCCACGCTACCGCTCCATCACTTGCACTCATTGATCTCTGGCTGTGCCCTCACCAGCTTCATTCGATGCTCACCCAGTCTCACCTTTTCCGGCGTTGCCTGCATTACTTTGCTTTTATCCCTCAGAACCTGCAAGCAGAATTCAAATCAGAATATGTATTTAAACTGCCATTCGATGAGCTATAAAGCTCTTTTTCACAGATGTCCAGTAGGGGCCGGTTAGAATGTTACTACAACAAACATTGCTGTGGTTGTTCCACCTGATGACGATTGCTTGTGTTGCGATTGAAACGTCGTGATTTGTTTTATTGCTACCTACGTGACTTTACCTGAAAGAACCAAAGAGTTATGGATCCCTGCAGTCACAAAAACTTCAAATCAAGATTGAACACGATAGTAGTTCAAAGTACAAGCGAGGTAAACAAACCAACTAAACACAAACAAATACAACAACTCAACCATCCCCATCCTACCAGGCAAAGCCCACTGAGGGATTAACTCATTTTTTAGAAGCCACACAATCGGGCCTAACTTCCTTGCTAATGTTATCCACCAACTTTGCTATTCTTACCCAAGGCATGCTTTTTCAACGGTTTTATTTAACTTCACTTGTGTTTGTCGTGGTCAAATCTTGTAATTAAAAGTTAGTCTACTTCCTGTTGTCCAATCAATTCCAAATTTTGCACACGTACTCAGATCCGGTGGCAATTCATCAAGTAATTGCCTCCTTTCAAGCAATTAACATTTTTGTATGGACGGCTTATTAATTATATATTTTTGTGTAGGTCAAAAACGCCGCGGTCCCTAAACTGTGGAATTGGCTCGCACAAAAAGCAGGCGCCACGTGTCTCAGGCGCCATTGACGTACTTCTCATAGACCGTGAGTTAAACGAAGTTGTTAATAAAAACGTTGTTTTAAAAAAACATTTTTTAAAAGAGTTAATTTTATAACATAAATTCAAGTCGGCTTTTTTGAGTTCAGTATTTGGTGATACTGGTGCTGATACTGGATATCTTTGAGAAAAAGCTTTATAGCTCATTGTATTCCTCCAGTAACACATTCGTTAGGAACAAGAAATTTAACCGGTGACGTTTTGGGCAATGACCCTTCTTCAGAGCACAGTGAGGTTGAGTGATGTTGCCCAACATATACTTTTTAAGGTCACGTTGTTATTGACGAACGTCTGGAGTTTTTAAAATTAATTTTGAGTTCACTTTCTACGAAGTATTGGAGGCCGGTTCTTGATTTTGCATATTGGTGAGCGTGATGTTTCCAGGTTTATCCCGTTAATATGATGTACATGCTTGATGTTGCACTCAGGTGGGTCGGTTTCACCTCGTGGTAGCGTACATGACTGGCGGTTAGCAAAGCTGTGAGAACCAAGAGCAGTACTCGCGGCCCATATAATCGTCATTATTGTTACCATGTTTTTTTTAAATCAAAAAATGTCCAGTGCAAGTGTGTATTTTTTGTACCTGTGCATAACATTCCGCGTATCGTCGTAATCATCGTGTAACTTGCCACTGCTGGAGCAACGCCCTCTCCCCGTTGTCTCCCGTTGTCTTCCCTTGGTTGACCTTGTGCGGTGGCAGCAGCCACAGGAGCTTCCTTGAGTGTTTGGACTTCATCTTCCTGGCATCTCGCTTCCGCCGTCTTCCTCCGCTTATCTTGCCTTGGCCGTATCCACTCCGTGGTTTATTCGTATTAAGTTTCGAAAAACGTTGATTAGTGAAGTGAAACCGGTGTGGTGCCGCCTGGTGTTGGTGCGTGCGTCGCGTCGCCAAGGCGTCAGCCTGCGTTTGTAGAAGTCCTGTGCTTGCCAGTGTCATCTGCACCGCGCGGGGTCTCATTAATGTATTTTTTTTTATAAATATCCTTCAAAATAAACGTTTACGTACGCTTTGCCTCAAGATCCATTGTGTCTCGTTTGACAGTGTTGAACCTGTCACGTTTTGAATTCGAGGCTCCATCGTGGACGGTAAAAAAGCTAAAGGCAATTTCTTGCCCACGCCGCTGCTGGCAGAAGGCGCTTCTCGAGAGCTCCTCGAACGGTTGTTTTTGGTCTCCTCTTCCACACGCTGGCCAGACGTCTCAGAGGAGGTCTGAGTACCCACACTCTGCCTCACCACCACCGCGTGACACGGCCATCGACTGCGGCGTACCTCCTCGCTGGGCGGACAGAGGCATTGGGGAGTTAAATAAACGTGCCGCTTCCTTCAACTGCCGCGCCTGGAGATGGAACCGGCCCTTCGGTTTTTCCCTCCACATTTAAGCCACTTCGTTGAGCTTACATGTTAATGTAAGATCGCAGAGCCACCTCCACGGCTGTTCAACACAGCCACCTTCGCACGCTGTATGTCGCCGTGGCGGTGGCTCTGCGACCTTACATTAACATGCTAATCTCTCACATTAACATAGTCACTTCAGCACGCTCGCCGTGAAGGCCGCTCCCCGACCTTACATTAACACGCTAATCTCTCACATTAACATAGCCACCTCAGCACGCTCGGCGTGAAGGCCGCTCACCGATCTCACATTAACATGCTAATCTCTCACATTAACATGCTAATCTCTCACATTAACATAGCCACCTCAGCACGCTCGCCGTGGAGGCCGCTCACCGATATAACATTTGGGCTACGCCCATTTCAAACCTTTATAAACAGTTGCCTTTAGAAGCTAACCCCCTTTTCCTGATGACGACCGCTTGTGTTACGATCGAAACATCGTAGTTTTTTGTTATTTTCTTTGAACCTAGCTACGTGTCTTTACCGAAAGACCCAAAGAATATTAATTCCTGCAGTCACGAAAGCTTTAAGTCAAAAGAGAGGAGGCGTTTCTCATGACGCTATACCAACCAATGGGATTACTCGATCCATGGATCGATTGGCAGTGAAATGACTGCAATTAACTCGAAAATTACAAGCTGATAGTGATTAACCTGCATACAAACCAAAGGTATTTTTTATGTTTATTATATTTTTACGTCCCATTTTATATTAAAATGAAAACCATTGTATTCTGGTGTCTGTTTTTATCTTAAGATTGATTCTGAGTATCCTATTTTGTGTTAAACTTTATTCAGTGGGTGTATACAAAGCAAAGGTACTCATACGTCCGATTGAATATTACACTTGCTTCTGTAAGTGGAAACAAAAATTGAATTGTTGGGGTAAGGGGTTTATTCCTTCGCTCTCCAGAACTAAATACAATTCTTCGTATGCATTTATTTTAAACATTAGCCTTTTGTCAATCGACTTCTGAATGAAGGCCTCACTTAGCCTTCGCCCCCTCCTCTAATTCACCATCAGCATCATCAGCCAGGGTCTATCCACTCCTGGATTAAGGCCTCCCCAAGCCTTCACTAATACATCAGCAGCAGCAGCCATGATTAATGCACTGCTGGCTGATTAGCCATACTTCACGCTGGTCAATGCACTGGCCTCCGCTCACGACCACCACTGACACCACGCGCAGCTGCTGCCCTTCACGAGATCGCTAAGCTCGCAGAACCACGCGGAGCTGGCACTCAGCAGCTGGCACCAAGAAGCTCTGCCCCGAATCACCGTCGTCACTCAGCGTTGGGGACTCCCCCCCCCCCCGCCGGACTCTCGAGCGAGGCGAGGAGGAGCCCAGTGCGTGCTCCCTGTGCGGACACGGGCGGCGGAATGGGGCTGCGGGGAGCTGCACGCGGATCCGGGCACTGCCCCGCGGCGCTACCAACAACGCCCACGACGTGGCACTCGTTGACGAAGAACGACGTTCCGGGGACACCACCTCCCCGTGCGTGGAGAACACCCCGTGAAGCGCACAGAGCCGAATCGCGTGCCGTGCTTCTCCAGCAATGCGCGTGACGAACACCACCACCTCCTCCTCCTCCGGGTGGGCCGGCAGCCCCTAGCTGCTCGGCTTCCTCGGCCACGACTCTGGGAGTGGCCATGGCCCTCAGGATGAGGTTTTTAAGCCAAGTCACTCCAAGTTGGAGGCCCTACTATGTTGTTGTTGTTCCTAATGTACGAGGTTCAATGTTCATCAAATACGTTGTGGGCCCCAGCAGAAGTAAGGAAATGGCCGCGCCCACAGGAGGGAGGCCACTCTGGCGTCTGAGCGAACTGGAGAGTGATCGCGTGTGGACGAATGTGAAGACGTTGAGTTCCGCGAGAACTCGACAATAACTGGGTTCCAATGTCACCGCGCCATGCACACCGGGTCGAGACACCCCAGAAAGTCCGTCCAAGCCCAACCAAACCCGAGGTGAGAATAAACGTCACACAGTTCGTGTCGTCTTGTTGGTGCTGTGGTGCGGTTGTGCAAGGGACTTTTGTGGTTAGGCAGGTAGCTAAATCTATGAGAGGGTTCGGCCCAACCTGGAGACCCTCAGTTTTAGAAAACCCTCCCTGCCGCCAGCGAGGCATATACAGCACCCTGTACATGCCAGAGGAGCCGTGGGAACGCCGTCTAACCTCGGGCGGAGTGGGTATTGGGTGGTGTTTACATGGGGCGAGGAGCCAACTTTAGGCCGCGCTCACGTCGCGTGTAGAGGGGCCACCGCCAAGTAATTTATATCGTGCATAAAGCGGTTCCCCCTCTATCGGGTGGGATCAGGCCCGGCCCCATATACCTACGCCCCGTGCCGCCAGAGCAGTGTAGATTAGCCGTGAGCGCAAGGGGCCGACCTCGATGTATGTTCACGCAACCCCTTGTGGGGAGATACACATATACGTACCCACCCGCGGATTAGGCAACCTATAGATACATATACGCATAGAGGCACGCACGGGCAGCTCCGACTCAATAAATCGGGGGGTGTGGGGTATTAACCCCGGAGTGAGGTCGGGAGGTGTTGAGTGGTTGCCCAGCTGAGGTGCAGGATCGCGAGCGTGTGGCGTACGCCGGTGCACTTGGAGGGGGAGAAAGAGCAAGTCTCAGGGGGGCTGCGCTTGGGGCGAGTGCGGCTCGGAGCTGCTCCTCCAGCCCCCCCCCCCCCCCCCCACGCTTCGCTTCGGGACTCGGACGTGGAGTCAGCCGAGCCGTCTGGGGCTGGGAACCAGGTGGATGAGAGTCCGAGCGGTGGGGCTACCCCTCGGGGCGAGGGGGCGAGCCGCCGAGAGTCGACCCCCGGCCACCAAGCTGGCCCGCCTGTGCCCGCTCAGGAGAAGGGCCGTCCTCGCAGGTAGGAGAGGACACCGAGGGAGAGAGCGAGATCAGGCTGGGGGCGGTACCTTTGGGCCCGCGGCCCGGGCAGGAGGCATGGCAGCGAGTCGATTAATCCGGGCAGCGAGCCTCGCGAAGATCGCGCGCGAGGGACCTCCCGAAGTGGGGGCCACCCCGGGCCGGCCGTCGTTGCGCTGGCAAAGGCCACCCCCCCCCGTTCCCCCACCCCCCCCCCCCCAGTTCCCCCACCTTGCCCTTGCTCGCGTAGACACGAGGTCTACGCGAGCAGGGCATTTTCACACGGTCTGTTCTCAAAGGAAAGGGAGACATATCATTGGTGTGCGTTCTGCCCCAAGACAGATATGGGGGTGTGTTTATACAGGAACTTCCTGATATGATGGTGCTGAGTTTGGTCATGTGACCAGGAATTTCCAGATTAAGGGTCTCCTAAGTCACGAGGCCAGGAGGGGGTATCAGCCATTACACAAAGTACAAAATGGAGGTACAATTAGCGTATCAGTGAAGACAGGTGCATCTGTTCATTGCGGGACTTTAATAAGCATTGTCTGTAAGTTTGTTTATGTTCTTTTAATACTGGTAATGCTATGTTGGGTTTGCCATTATAATTCTGTTAAGTTATGATGAATATGGGGCCTAGTTAACAACCAAGCCTGCCACTTGCATTATTGTGAATGTTATTTGTAGTTAGATAAGTCGAACCAGACTTGTGCTCATGTAACTTTAATGCATTCTTGAGAGCAATGACGAAGAAGTATCTCATCCACAGTTCAGCGTTATATGCAGCGCTGTACATTTAGGCTGCAGTATGGTGATTGCATAAAGTGACCTTATTTAACACGTTAGCTTATTTTCTTGTATAGCTATTCAGTGCTAATTCTAGATTTGAAGCTTTCGTGGCTGCAAGGATCCATACTCTTTGGTTCTATTCGGTAAAGTCACGTAGGTAAAAAAATTAATTAACAAAAATCACGACGTTTCGGCCACAACACAAGCAGCCTTCATCAGGTGAAGGGACCAGACTGTCTCGAGGACAGCGCTGGAGTGAAACACAGCCAAGCTCAGACCACAACCTTTAAGCTGTGTGAGAGTAATTAAGGTGCCTTGACAAAGGAATTAGCATAAAAATTTGCATTTAATAGGCGGACTTAGCATGATGAAAGGTGGGGAGGGGGTGAACATGTGCAGGCTGGCGAGGGGGCAAGGTAGAGTCCACATGCTGGTGGTGTGAAAAGGGAATTTTAAGAAACTGCGAAAGTTTGGGGTACCACTATTTGAAAAATATACTGTATTATTGAAAATTAGTTAAATGTTTGGTTCGATTTAGAACATCTTTCCAATGGTTGCTTAATTTTAAACCATCTTCTCGGTTGAAATTGTGTCTGTGTTTGTAGATCTGAATTGCCTTGTGAACAAATCTCTGATAAAAACCCATGGGTTTGCAAAGAACCTTGGTATCGGAGAAAATTATATCATGATCACCCACAGCGTTGTAACAGTGATCAGCTACGGCAGAAGAATTCGTTCTGCCGTGTTTCAAATCTGATCATCTATCTACCGATAGATGATATCATTTCTCAGGTCGATGTAGCCCTCAAAGGTATAGGACAGATCCAAGCAGACGTCGCGAGAGCTGAAATAGCTACTATTCTTAAGAATGCTAAGAAACCCGTTAGCAACATCAGTAAAGATGAACGCTCTGAACTCGCAAAATTAAAAGAGAGACATGATA